TATGTGTCAATTCAGTTTACATTAGACAAGAAATCTTGGACAAGAAATACTTGTCACACCACCCTCTTTGATTCTGAGTTTCGTGGCTAACCACCAAGCCACTGTACAAACACTGGCTGCCACCTCACACACATGCAGCCTCAAATTCACCACTTCCTCTGCCCTTATCGTTTTGTCACTTTTTCACTTTATCCTACACTTCTCTAAGTAAACACCCCTCTCTCTCTCTCTCTCTCTCTCTCTCTCTCTCTCTCCATTCTTCAACACCCATGGAAGGACCGCATCCATACTCAGCTGACAAGAACGCACTGAGTGTGGAGTGTCGGAAGCATGTGCAACCGATCCCTCCTCTCTCTTTTTTTTCACGTGCTTTCCTCCTCTTCCCACATGAGTCCTGGAATCACACCAGTAAACACCTCTCTCTCTCTCTCTCTCTCTCTCTCTCTCTCCATTCTTCAACACCCATGGAAGGACCGCATCCATACTCAGCTGACAAGAACGCACTGAGTGTGGAGTGTCGGAAGCATGTGCAACCGATCCCTCCTCTCTCTTTTTTTTCACGTGCTTTCCTCCTCTTCCCACATGAGTCCTGGAATCACACCAGCTTGACTCACTTTGGTACTGGTCAGACCGGGACCGCTGTCTGACCGGCCCCCTCCAATTTACATGCTCACCCACTCACCAACTCACACACACACACTCATCCAGATTGGCCCCTGAGGGTCCCTCCACTTCCCGCTCTTCACGTCCCTCCAGCATTGTGAAACAGGAGCGCCATCCCAGTTGTCTACAAACCAATAGGAATGTTTGGCTACCAATTCTTCTAATGTTTTCAAGATGGCTTTGACTCTTATAAGGAAATCCCCCCAGTTTAGTAGCCATTTGAAATTCCTGCTCCTTTTTTACAGCGAGGAAGTGTTTTCTGAGTCACGGGGAGAGAGCCCAGTCTGTCCGAAGCTAGGGAGTTTGGAGGAGCGCTCGTGGTGTTAGCTGTCGGTACACGAGGATCCTACGAGGTGCCGAGGCTTTTATGAGAGTCTGAGGTTCTGCTTTCTTGAACTCCACATCTAACATCTGTTTTCTATAAACGATAAAGAACAGAGGACTCAAGTGACCCTTACGGGATGTTTTTACTGGGTAAGTCAAAGTCAAAGTTTCCCCACTGCTAAAATACTTTTTTGCTTCTATTCCGACCACTGTAGCTGGTCGTGTGCGGTTTACAGTGGAACACAGTGGTTACTGAACCAGGACAACTGTTTCTTTAGGACCTTTTCTTCTTCATTAGGCACTTTCATTTACTACCGGATGGCTGATTAGACTATTTATACATAATTTATTCTTCACTTGTTAGTTATTCCATTATTTGGAATTCTATTGTTGTGCACTGTAGGTGACACAGCTGCTTTGTTTGATGTCAGTCAATCTGAATTACTCGAATTATTAGGGATAAGCAGTAATTCAAGTATGAAAAGTGTGCGTGTCTCTGCTTTCAACACTGATGTGGTATGAGTCCATGGTTAATATGAGCAATCCAAGCAGTGAGTCCAAACTGACGATGTCATGTCTAAGTGTTACTTACCGCCTTTGACACAGGCCTACGATCAGTTATTGCCCTCTAAGGCTTCACTCCACCAATAGAAGACAAACTGTTCAACTTTCATCAGATCAGTGTAAAAGAGCAAGTTACCAACACCCCAGACCGACTCAGCCCACAGAGCGTCTGGTTTGGATGAGGCCATGCTGTTCTCACTCATCTTTCCCATTCTTGCCATCCCCATGACAACAGCACCATCAGACGCCTCCCTCTGAGCTGACTAGGAGCCGAATGAATCTTCCTGCCTCCGTTAACGGGTGGCAGGGCCATGGCATCCACTGTGGCGGCACATGAGAGCCAGTGTGTACACATAGGATTTGCCAGGACCCCGCTGGTTATTACAAGCCTGTAGGTGTATGTGTGGTTCCTGGGGATTCAAGGATTCGCTTATTCGTGTGTGCATTGATGTCGGCAGTCCATCCGTGCTTTTCAGATATAATGGGATTTTTTATATAAAATGATATAATAGGATTAATCTTTGCTGTCACGGATCGGCACTGATTATGATGCACATGACCTGGATGTTTCTTAAGCTTTCAAGGTAGCACCAGACTGGCATGACCTAAGATGTAAACAGTGTCGGGTCAGAAAAACAGGTACATTACGAGTGTTGGCTTAGCTGAGCAGAGCCTCGTCTTGCTTTTAATAACCTGCTAAATAAACCCCATGGTCTGTGTTCCACTCCAGAGCTCGTTTTCATTGGCATCCACCCCTGGTTGTGTGTTTACACCTCTACCCATCAGCTCAGTAGCTTTTTCTTGAGTAGGAAATCTGCATTGCGTTCCAAATTAGCATTTTGAATGTGTGGCTGAGGCAGTGACCCTGACTTGGTGTTTGTTCTGACTACAGTTTGTCCAGACCAATTAATCAAACAACAGGTGGGGTTATGCTGAATTAGGATTATGTAGTTAATGTGAATGGGTGGGGCATGGGGAGTGGTAAAGTCTCTGTCCTGGCTTTCATCTGCCCAGTGTCTTGGTATGGCCAACATTTGTCTAGTTGGGTACTATGAAGGGCAGGACAGAGAGTGGGTGGCTGTCTAAAGTTTGTAATTACAATACTCCCTCTGTTAGTTCCTGAGAAGGCCACTTCCATTTCCCTCCACCTCCAGTTTCCTGGATGCTTATCTGTCATGGGATAAACTGCAAAGTGTACATTAGTGTTTTTGTCCTTTGTTCTTCTGTGATCACACTTGATTGCCTTTGACATTGGAGTGGACTTGTTTTGCTCTGTTGCGTGGAGTCAGAGTGAGATGTCTGTGTTCTGTTAACATCAGACTTGCTGAGGTTCATGTGTTGTTCATGTGTTTTGTTTGGAGCCTCGCCTGTTCGTTTTAGTGTGTTTGGCTGTATATGATTGAAATATTAGCTCATAAGCTTGGTGTATTGAACATTTTAAAGTAAGGCTGCAAATATTTGTACAGTTCACTGTGGTGGTCACTGTTTCTGTTGTGTATTGTATACTATCACAGAATGAATGTTAAAATAAAACGATTGCCATATTTTTCAAAATTGGCAAAAGTCTGGTCCATTTTGCAGATTATTCTGCTTAAAGACATGAATAGACTGGCATTCACATCCGTTCACAGTGTTTTCCTGCCTTTGGCCTGAGATGTTGGGATTGGCTCCAGCATCCCCATGCGGCATATGTATCCAATACCACAACTTTAGAAGATAAAAGTCATGAGATCTACAAGTGGAAAACTGGGAGTACAATTAAAACCATGCTTAATCAATGTGTCTTTCTCTCTCTGTCTGTAGTGAATAATAGTCCATCAAGCAGTTACAGGGGTGTTATTCTGACTGGTCAATTAATCATCTTTGTCTAGCTGGCAAATGCAAGGGTTGATATAATTCTAGCAGCTATTACGAATAGAGGCAAACAGGGTCATAGTGAGAGCTCAGAAAGGACTCAATACATTTTGTAGTCACCATAAAATGTTCTTGTGTAATTATGATGCAAGCTAAGGCCAAGACTACAGGATTTACGATGCCAGACTGAAGATGTAGAGTCAAAGGTTAAAATGCTGATTTACTAAGGTTGTAAATTCTGTTTAAAGTGTTAGCTTCTTTAGGTCAGTCTTGTGAGGATCTCACCATGCTAATATTCTCTCCAAATCAGTGGTCGAGAATGTGTTTTTGCACATTCTTTGGACCCGCAGAGAAAAACATGGAGATGTTCTGGAGGGTGTCAAACTGATGCTGTAATTCTGAGGTTGAAATGCAGCTGATTGTTATTTTTGGATTCTTCATATACAGAGCGTGTGAGAATGAGACTGGAGGATGGTGGAAAATTCCAACAGGACAGAAGAAGGTGCCACAGTGAAGAAGGCTGCTGACTGAAATGAAGAGAAAAAGAGAGTAGGGTTCAGGGAGAAACTAAGGCAGTGAGAGTGAATGACAAAAAAAAAAGAAAAGAAGAGGGTAATGGAGAAAGGGGGGAGGAAAAATTGGGAAGGGAATTCACAGGAGAGAGAGAGAGAAAGGAGAGAAAGATAGGGTGTGCATTCATCTGTGAGATGAGATATCTGTCCAGTGATGACTTGACGTATCTCTGATGTCCCAGGGCTAAACTATAGTATGTATGTGTGTGTGCTGAATGGGTGGTGTCCACTCTTGGTTGTGGAGAATGAATGGATCTGGCAGACATTACCAGCTAACCTCTGAACTGATCAGACATGCTTCCAGGGCACAAGCAAGTCAATTTATATATGTGTTGCTTAAAAAAGCAACCCAATAACTAGTCTCAGCTTAAAACACACAATTTTACAGACCTTTTACTACATAGAAAGTGGCAAAAATATACTAAAAAGGATTGTTCGTGGCACTTTGTAATAAGGAAAGAAGATATCCTTGAGCACAACAGTTTATTCTACATTTCTATTTATTTCAGATTTATGTGCCATTAAATATTAAGTAAAAAAGCAAAAAGTGGTCGGTTAATGAATATGTTGTTCTAATGCTCTTTCCTGTATAAGTTGGTGGCTCTTGGCCAGAATATTCAACAATGTGGACTAGACCAGTGTTTCCCAATCCTGTTCCTGGAGGTACACCAACAGTACACATTTCAGATGTATCTCTTATCTGACCCATCCATTTCAGGTCTTGGAGTTTCTACTGAGCTGATGGGTTGAATAAGGTGTGTTTGATTTGGAAGAGTTCATAAATGTGCAGTGTTGGTGTGCCTCAAGGAATAGGGTTGGGAAACACTGCATTAGACTTTATGCTGATAATCAAATTCCAAACAAGCTCCAAAATAAAGCCAAGTGTGTATAGACAATAGGAATTGTATTATTAAGTCTTTGAATCCTTATGCTCAGATATGTCCACTGTCATGATACAACACATTGTTCACGTGCCAGTCAGCACACCTAACCCACTCCACCTTCCTTCCCCCCTTTACACAGGCAGTGGACTGATGGGAAACTCCTCAGCCACCTTCATGGGGACTTTCCTGGCCAGCAGTCTAGGCTCTCCTCCCTCACACCCACCACACCCCTCCAGACCACCATCCTCTCCCTCCTCTCCTCCTTATCGTGGGGGTCCTCACTCCAGCGCCTCTCAGATCTGGTTCCCCCACTCACATGAAGGTAAGATGGCTCCGTTCCACTCACCTGCTCATCTGTCTGTCTGGATATGTGTCCATCCATGTGTTTGGGCCTCTGGACTTTCTCATCAAGAGGAAGCAGCTCTCTCTTTTTTATGCACTGTGAAATGTGCCGCCCCAGTGGTTTTCGGCAGTGCAGAAAGGGGACAAAAGTTCAGCCAAAGAATCTTGTGGTCCGTTATGTGCATCAACAAGAATTTATGCGCACAACGTGCAAACTCAGACACACACAAACATTGGAGGAAGAACAAGCTAAATGGTCAACAGCATCGCAGCTGTCATGTAAAAGCCAATGTGGCTTTTCTCACCATGGCTTATACTAGCTTGACCTGAGCCACACCCAGCCCTCAGCCTGCCAAATCAAGAGCCGGCCTTCTCCAGCACTGGCTCCAGATCCCTACAGATGACAGACTACTACAGCTCCGCAGAGAGAGCAATATAGAGAGAGACGGCAAGAGTAGGAGATGCCCAGGCATGCCCAATGCCACTCGGCACTTATTCACACATAAATCCCCTCCGGGCCAAGTCCAAATGTGCCAAACAGTCATAAACCATTAGGAGTTCATCTGTGTGTTGTTTGTGTAATCCTCAAGCTCAGCCTGTCTGCACTATCCCCATGCCTGTAATCACTATACCCCAGTCTATTTTCACTCTTTTCTCCATATATCCTCCCATCTGGTATGGTGGAAGACAACCCTGTTCCATTTGAAGTTCACACTTGGAGGAGGTGTGTGGAGATGACTTACCTTATTGTGCCTATCAATCATTAATTTTGAAGATTTTTCTGGTCAAGGACCACCAATTAAAACAAGTCGAGTTCAGTTTTGAGACTTAAAGACAGGTTAAATGGTGCCATAAACCTCACAAACCAAGGCAAATACAGAAACTTGTTCTTTCTTGTTCGTCTTAATATAGAAGCCTGGTAAACTGTTGGCAGCCCGATAAAAGCCTGTGAACCCTGACTCCAGGAAATTACACAAAGCCAACCAGTCCGAATGCAATTTTGTGAAACCTTTTCCCATTTCTATGTGCAATATGCATCAGATGGTCCGTGGGTGTTACTTCTAAGGCTAGGACTAGTAGAGGACTAGCTCACCGATATTCAAGACATGACTACCCATGAATTGCCCATATGTGCACCGCACAATGTGACAAAACGTGCACTACCTGCCAGGCCATGAAGAGACGAAAACCCAGAGATGTTGGTTTGTTCCTTTGGCCAATGGCACATTGATCATGTTCCAAAAAACTGGACAGTTTTAATAAGAATGATGACGATAACGGTTACGTTACTAAGTAATAAGGCTGATTATGAGTGGGATTATGATAGCAAGCTATTATCTGTATTGCAGTTTAATTGTGCAGAACGTGGTGTGAAAGTGATTAAATCCTGGCTTGCCATCCTCTCTCCTCTTTAAGTTAATTGCAAATTGTCTTTTCTTCAGTTTGCATAAAAAAGCAAGTGATCAAAATGAGAAGCACAATTACCCAGCCTATTCTCTGCACCCTGTGGGACGGAGTCTCCCACCAGCAACCGCATAAGCGTATCTGCAAGAGTACTTTGAAGATATCCTAAAATTCCCTATGCCTCAACATCTGTGAACAGTTTATTATGACATTCAACATATCAATGAAACTTATTTCTGAATATTTTGTGTAGCACTGTAATTTTTTTCCAGTATAAATTTACTTGACAAGCAAATAGAGTATAATTTGTTTTTCATAGGATATATCTTTAAGTCCATTCAAGCATATATCTTGAATTAAGGATGTTACCCCTCTTGCAAACAAGCATAAACATACATCTAACAAAATGTAAATATGAAAAATGTCAATTTGCAGCAGCTCTTTAATCACAGTTTTATGAATTTCCTGACTACTGTAATGCCCAAGGACACATCAGATGCTAATCTGAAAACTACAAATATCTTAAAGACAAATCGCCATGCTGTAGTTGCCAAATACATTTTGCATTCACATGCATTACATTACATTACATTTTGTTACATGTAGTAACAAAATTGGATTAAGCTGGTATTAGATCAGTAAGAATAAACATTTAACTTCTGCAAAACTGCCCTGGGTTCCTATGGGACTTGACTCTCAAAGGAGTTGACTGCAACTGTATTAATCTACTGATGCATGACCACATAATGTCATAACAGTGCGTATGAAGTCAGTAGCATACGTTCAGCTCATAAACAACAACTACTGTATATTGAATTTCTTGTAGAAGGGGGAAACTGAAGTACAGAAAACAAAAGGAAAGCCCAGCAGGCACATTGCCAGCTGGTCTATGTCCAAATGACAGTTTTAACTGTGCCGAACAGAGGCTGCCATCCTCTGCTTTCTTCTACCAAGTGTTTATTTTAATAAAATGATGCTGGCTCTTGTGCCGGAGCTGGTGCTTGGATGTTCAAAGATTGGCAATGGTAGTTTCTCCACTGACTTGAGAACCGAACATAACAATCCCAACTTGCAGTCTTACAAATTGTGACGTATTTTAATATCTAAAGTAATTGTTATGCTGTCACAAGCTGCTGCAAATAAAATGATTTTAAACATAGATACAAAACTGGAAGATCTGGCATTTGAACATGTGTTGTATTGCAAATTACATTTCCAGTTTAGCTATGTTGATTATAATGATAAAATTGTTGTTGCTGATGTTGCCTAATGTTAGCAGTTCTTGTTTTTTTGGCAAAGAATCACCTTTGTCATGGTGGAACAGTTGCAGATTGGCCACCAGGTCCCTAGTGGTGGAAGAAGGGCTTATGTCTCTTTATAGCCCTCATGCATCACTTGTTTCATCTCTCAATCCAATCATGTCTTTTCTCTGTCAGTAGAATGCAGGCTGTCGTCTTCTCCCCCTCCTCTATTGCAAGGCTACATCACTTCCTTTCAATTAGCTGTCCTGATGATTACCATTCACCTCCTTCCATCCTCCTCTGTCTTTCCTCTCCACCCTCTTCCATTTTGGTACTGCTCTGTCACTTCTTCTCAATTTGCAATCTCGACAGGCAGCTTTATCTGCCCCTCTCTGTCTATCCTTAAACAATTTACTCTGGGATATTTACAGATGCGTGCTTGTATGCACTGTCATGAGCAGACACAGCGAGAACGATTGGCTGTCCATGTGAACAGGAAGATTGAGAGATAGGATTAGCAGGAATGTGCAAATTGTGTACCATTAGCATTTGTAGAAGGTCCAGCTCTCTTCAAAGAATCTGCCCGCGTAATAACAGCTTTATTGTCTGGGAATCAGCCTATTCGATTAGGTGCTTTTACTGGGATCTACTGAATTGTAACTAAAAGAAATTCAGCAAAATCACAAGGTTCTGCACAGTCAAAATAATTAAGAAAGATAGTAGAACCATTCAGTCAAATCAAGTCAAGTCACCTTTATTTATATAGCGCTTTTAACAATACAGATTGTGTCAAAGCAACGGAACAGCATTAATTAGGAAAATAGTGTGTCAATAATGCAAAGTGACAATAGTAAACACTAATTTTTCAGTTAAAGGCAGTTCATCATTGAATTCAGTGATGTCATCATCCAGCTCAGTTCAGTTTAAATAGTATCTTTACAATCAAGTCGATATCGATATCGCTGGAAATGAAGTGTCCCCAACTAAGCAAGCCAAAGGCGTTACTCATCATCCAGCTTTTTATATCGACTGAGATTCAGCACTATAAATGTACACCACATTGTTTCCAGATAACTTATAATAAATTTTGACATCAAAATTAGACTTTTTTTGATGATATAATAAATTATTTTACCATGATTCAAAAATGTTTGAATATTTAAAAAAAAAATGTTTATATATCTGAAATAATATAAAATAATTGTTTTAATATTTGTATAATAAATTTTGACATCAAAATTAGACTTTTTTTGATGATATAATAAATTATTTTACCATGATTCAAAAATGTTTGAATATTTAAAAAAAAAATGTTTATATATCTGAAATAATATAAAATAATTGTTTTAATATTTGTATAATAAATTTTGACATCAAAATTAGACTTTTTTTGATGATATAATAAATTATTTTACCATGATTCAAAAATGTTTGAATATTTAAAAAAAAAATGTTTATATATCTGAAATAATATAAAATAATTGTTTTAATATTTGTATAATTAAAAAAGGATACTTATAATAAGTAATTAATGAGTAATAGCAGTTCCACATTTTTTATGCTACTTCAGATTCCAATTTGAATTGTGCATCCTGAATTCAAGCCAGCAGCCATGAGCTATCAGCACTGTATCTGTGAGCAAGGCATTTAATATCAAGTTGCTCCAGGAGGACTGAACTGGTTAAAAAAAATATGGCAAAACCATATGAAAGTTATAAAAAAATAGCATTGGCATGTTTCCAGATGTATTATGGTCCTGGTATGTACTGTTAAGGTACAGAGAGCCTCTAGCTCTTTTTTTTTTTTTTTTTTTTTACTGATTCGGAGAAAAGCCTCCAAAGTTTTTCCTGTAAATATTCTGCAATAAACTGCAGTAGCATCCTGCTCAGATAATAAAAGTTCTGCATGTGCTGAGTGAGCTGGTGTCAATCACTTACGGACAGCTGCCGTCTCTGTGAGGGCAACAGTGTTAGCAGCATTAATGTCAGCACTAAGCAGTAAAACCTGCCTCATCTAGCCTGCTGGCACAGCACCTTCTCTTGTCCTGGCCAGATTAACGGCTGAATGTGCAGTGCAATGCCCAGCGGTGCCTGCTCACCTGCCCTAAGCGGCCTCTGCCTAGCACCGAGCAACCAGCCACTATCAGGCGCAACCAGACGTCACTGTGAAACGGGATTACGCTGCCAAGTGTCACGCACAGAAATTCAAAGACACCAGAGAAACATCCGAAGACTGATTTGCATAACGCAAGCTTGTATCACACTTTTGCATAACCCACAGAAGTAATGGATTGTTCAAAGGGAGCCTTATTTTTTTTTCCAATTCTTAAATGAATTGGCATAAATGAATGTGCTTATTAATGCTGACAGGCAGTGAGAATAAAAATAGAGCTTGCAATTATCACCTTCCTCTGTACGTATAAAAATAAACGTTTAAAAAAACGGAGTAAATAAATAAATTACTCATGTCATCCCAAACCTGTCCAGTTTTTTTCATTCTATTCTATATATATATAATGGAAGTCAATGGGGACCAGATACTGTTGTATTTACCAATTTTTCCAAATATATTTGTGGTCAGCAGAAGGAAATTCATACAGCTTTGGAACAACTTTAGCTGAGTAAAAGATGACAGAATTTTCATTTTTGGGTGAAATATCCCTTTACTCTTGGCAGGTTCACTGGCTGTCAGGGCAGTTTGCAGATTACTATTAATGTTTACTATTGTTATTTTTTTCAGGGTATTTTATAGAAGGTACAAGATGTGGTTATCCTTCCCGGCCTGAAAGTAAAATTAATTGTTAATAATAATTATTATAATTATAAGAAAAAAATCAATCAATCAATCAATCAATCAATCAATCAATCAATCAATCAATCAACAAACAAACAAATTGACAGAAAAATAACTGTGTGGCTCTGGTAATTATTACTTCACCCTATCTCCACTTATAAACATAGTACTATCCAGGTTGCAGCAGGTTAACTGTTTTTGGTAGATCAGGAAATATTTTCTTTTCCTCAGTAATGTAATGCACTCTGAAAAATGTCATAAATATCACTCTCGTGTAAGTATTTTAAATGTCAATGTCTATCAGAGCCCATAATTGTCCCAGAACGTTATGAGGCTAACATTTATCACATATTTAAAGGTTAAGGTCTTCTCCTTTACTAAGTTTCAAAGGCTTGTGCTTGAAAGGTGTTTGGTTTTCTTGTAAATTCTTTCCCCTTGGCTTTGTTGTGTTAGTCACAAATTTTGGAGAGTCGAGACAGCTGAAATAAAGTTGATCATTGGCCTTTTTCTCAAATCACCACATGTTCTGCTGTGAGGACTCTTTGCTTATTGTTTTACTTTGTTATCTCTTAACTCAGCACTGGGAACTTTGTGAGATTAGCACGGTGAGAAACATATGTTCAGGAGACCAAATTCATCCATTACTTGAATCCCCAGGACTGAACTTGTCTTCTTGTTTGCATTGCAAACCCAAATAGGAATGGCAAATATGACATCCAAAGCCTGTGGTTATTGCAGAATATGGAACACCAGCTGCATTGGAACAGGGGGATTAGATCTGGACCAAAATGCTTACGGACAAAATAAATGTGGTTCAGTGATTATTGTCTTGTTATCAGAGCTTTCCTTGCCTTATTGCTCTCTCTCCTACTTCTCACACTCTTACGTTCACTTCTTCTTTTGCTACTGTATTTTATGTGTTGTAATTTAATTTTTCTAGACATTTCCACTAATATTATGACCCTCTTTTTTTTTCTTTTTTTTTCACAGCAGTCCCAGGGTATCCTCGCTTCTCAGGGAGTCTAGCCCACACCTTTCTTCCCATAAGCCATTTGGATCACCATGCCAACAGTGGGGTCCTCTATGGACAGCATCGTTTCTATGATACACAAAAAGGTGGGCAAAATAATAATTCTGGAATTGACATTTCTGCTTATTTCATAAACCGTTATAATGATTAAGTTGCATGTTTTATATGCAGCTCTACTTCTCTGTTGTAGTCTCCAAATATGATAGTTCTGGCATAGTTCCATGAATTGACCCTCAAGGAAAGCTTAAGTTGGTGCTAGTTTAAATGATTAACAGCCGTATCTGATCTACTTTACAGAGAACTTCTATTTAAGAAGCCTCCCGTCCCAGCCCCCACTCATCTCAGCCAATCACAACATCCAGCCGATGTCAAGGACAGGATCCGGACAACCCCAGGGCTCATGCAGCAGGGACAGAGATGCAGGAAGTGGGATGAACCTACAAAAGGGTATTAAAGAGCCTAGCTTAGAGAGAGGTGTGGTTTCAGCTGCAAAAGATAAAGACAGACCTAGTAATAAACATGATTCTAAAGACCGCCATCACCACCAACTACTCCATCATCACTCCCATCAACCCCAGCTCCACCCACAACATCCAGCCACTATGGAAGAGATGAACGGCAGGGGACACAAAGCCACTCTGCCTATTGAGTATAAGGAACATCCACAGAGCATGGGAAAGCCTCTTAGTGCCTGTCTGCTGAATGGAAAGATGCTAAATGGGGACCATGGAACAGGGGCAAAAGGCTCCATGACTACGTATGGTGGGGATGGGGTGGTTAGAGGTAATGTAGGGTCCAATAATGTCCAAAACAGACACGTGGGAGGTGGCACTAACGGGCACTGTGGTAAAGAGGCGATAAGTGGGGAGATGCGGATCAGTGAACAGCCTCCTACAGACTGTCTGGAGCGAGGTCAGGCATTGCAGCATTCTTTGCCCTATTCAGTGCCTCCTCCACTGCCCATGGCTGCTGGAGGGGGGCATCCAAGTGGCTTCCACTGTCTGCAGCTCCATCCTGGCCACCCCCATCACCCACACCAAAATCGCCACTCACACCATCACCCTGACTTTTTCTGCCCTCCACCACCAGCCCCTATGGGAAATCCTTCCTTACATGATAAAGGAATCAATAATGGTGGCTGCAGAGACTCCAAAGTGACTGGAGCCACATTTATTCCATCTGTTAGCCACCTTGGGGAGAAAACCGGAGGCCCCTTCCAGATGGGCAACTCTGAGTGCCAGGGGGTTGGGGGTGGAGGGAACAGTGTCAAGGACAAGGCCATGGAAAAGATTGGCAATGGGGGGCATCATGGTAACTGGCCCAGGAAACAACAGCATCAACCTCCAACCCAGCAGCAGCATCCCTACAGAAAAGCTGAAAAAGCACCTGACTGGATGCACAACCACAACCACCACCATCACCTACAGCAACAACAGCAGCAGCAAAGCCATTCCCAGCAACACCAGACTGTGCGATCCCGCAGTGCTGACTGCATCAACAGTATGGAAACAGACATGTTCAGATCTACACTTACTCAAGAGACAAAGACTGTTCATCCTCTACCCAACCAAACCAACACAAATTCTCAGCCCTACAGAGACTGCTCACACTCCGGGCCTCCAACCATTCCCTCACCTCTTGCTGGGAAGACCATGACTCAGCACACGGGTGGAGGAGGACATGGAAGCTGCTCTATGCAGCGAGATGGACAGAAGGTTGCCCGCATTCGCCACCAACAGCACAGTAGGGCTGGCCCCGATACCCCTGGCACAGACATGGCCCAGGCTAATGGGAACCAGGAGATGAAGCGGAAGATGGAAATGTCTCCTTATGGCTACAACAACAATGTGCAGCATCACCCACATCAGCATACATCAGTGCCACCTTGGGCCATGCAATCTCATCACATCCACTCTGAAGAGAACCAGCATAAAGCTTACATGGAACCTAACAGTGGAACTGCCAACAACAGACCGCCCACACAACAGCAGCACCAGACGGCAGGAATGGGTCCTCCTCCTCCTCCTCCCCTTCATCCAGCTCCTCCTCAAAACCAGCAGGAGATCACAAGCTCACAGGGAGAGAACAGTGCCATAAAGAACCTTCTGAAGTACAGCAACCAGCAGCCTCTCCTCCTGTCCCAAAAGAGCCCATTTGGAGGGCTTGGGAACCTCAAAACAGCAGCTAATGGCACCAGCTGCTCTATACAGGGAGGCAAGCAGACCCTACCCTCCAGGAAAGGCCAAAGCCATGAAAGTGAGAGAGCTGATTGTGGTGGACGTGGCCGAGAGATAGGAGATGTCCCACATGTAGAGGGGGAGGTGCGACAGCCTCCGGTAGGGATTGCAGTTGCCGTGGCAAGACAGAGAGAACCTCCATGCCAAGCATCAGGCAGCCATCCCAGCAGCCGACAGGGGCGGGTGCACTCCACCATGAAAGGTAAGCTTGACCTTTGATCTGTCAGGGCCTTCCTAAACAAACAATGGGCAGGGGCGCAGTGCAGTTTGTTTATTCGTGACCTCTGGAAGACTTCACTGATGAAAAATATATAGCAGAACTTGCCAAGACCCAAAGTGGAAACAGCTTTTTCCTCTTACAGCTAAAAATGCCAGTGCAGGGGGAGAAAGAGCACATTCCACTGTAGAGAAAGGCTGCTCAACAGCTGTTTGCATGCTGAGTGCCAAAGACAGTCAGAGTTGCAGATGAGAGAAAATCACTGATGTAAATTTGTTAACCATTTTGTAGGCATTCCACGCTCCATGTATCCTTCAGATTCAACTGGAGAGGAGGAGAGGAAAAGGATGAGCGTTGAACACATGGGCCACCGGTGCCTAGACAGAGAACGAGACGTGTATATTAGGTGAATGATCCACCCCTCACACACTTTTTTCACTTGTCACACATGCTCAAGTCCTGACCTTTCATCTGTTTCCGATCTGGCTTTGCAGGGATAACAAGGAAAGGGTCGAATTGGCACACATCCATCCCTCAAACAGTTGCCATGGTGACCTTACCTCTCACATCATGGTGCCAGGTGGAACTTCCATGCAGTCGAGCCAATTAGGAGACCCAGCTGCACATACACACTCTGCTCATCACCACTGGATGCCACGTACAGGAAGTCCCTCACTATGGATGACAGGTCACTCCTACGGTCAGTAATGTTGAGTATAGAATGAGTCTTTTTCTTGTTCCTTTTTTGGCCATTGTGAGGTTCATAAGTTCATTTTGGTTTCTACTAATAAATGTGTTTTAAAAATTATAAACTTTGTTGTATCCTGAAAGTTGTTTTATGTTTTGTAGGTATTGGTCACACAGCTCTGCATCAGAATCTCCCTCCTGGGTTTTCTGCAGCCATGCCTGCCCCTCTTCAGCCAGTTCTACCCCTGCCCCAGGACCCCTCCACCCAACTGGTGGTGCTGCCCAGTGAGCCTGCCACACACCCGGCTTCTCACCTTGGTATACCATGGTGTTTTCTGCCTAGTATTCTCATTTCCTCCCATATCCTCAATTTATTTGCCCTGCTGAGCCTGACCCATTTGTCAGATTTAGCATTCATTCTTTTTGTGAGGCACACAGCAGCTCTCATGGGTTTCTACGTGAAGATTTTACTGTCAGGTTGCCCAGTCTGAAAAATTATGCTCTATAACAGTGATTCCACTCAAGTTTCAAGGATATAAGTTCACTTTAAACCAAGTCCACACAACACGACTCAAACTTGTAACTGATGCTCTTATAGTGTGATAATTTCGAAAACATGCTTTGTCTAGTTGCAGGAAATACAGTGGATTTTATCATTTCAGACTTGTTTGAAGTCTAGTTGACTATTCTTCAGGTGTATACATTGTCCCAATGAATGAGAGAGCAGCTATGAATAACAGCCAATAAAATTGCTAAGATGAAATAGCAAAAACATGCAAGAAGAAAACACACAATATGCACACAATCACACAAACGGTTTCCTGTCAACCACCTGCTCCACCCCCACATGGTCTGGGTCAGGATGCTTTCACCACCCCCCTCAGAGCTATTGCCATATGTGCTCTAAAACACGCTGACGTAAGAATACATCCCAGCCTTATAAGTCTACACAGGCCTCTGCTGTGCAAACAGGCTGTGAAATCGAATTATCTTCATGTCTTCGAAGGCACACTTCCTTCCGTGCTCCACAGGAATTCCAGCTGAAAGGGGAAGTGCATCCACTAAAGCCTTCCCCCGGGAAACATTAGTTAAGCTGGGTTAATGTTCTAGAGCAAAGGTCCGTGATGTGTCAAGGCAAGCACAGGGGAGGGAGAAGAAGGGTCAGGCTGAACATGTACATTAAGGATGCTATGTGAAATGGGAAGAGTAGAAAACACATTTGACTTGCGGAGGCAGGGACTGAAGATGTGTCACTGTAGATGTGCACGGCTGGATTTCTGTTCCTGCCAGGGGAACGGCAGGAGTTTATCCCTGACATGGGAACTAAGAAGTCGCCTAGACTACATGCTGTAGTATGGGTCCACTGGTTTTCAGAGAAGGGGATTTTTCAAGGGAGTGAATATAGTTTGTCAAATGCCAAGCTTCTCATGCTAATATTTATTCTAATGGAAACTGCTTCCATTTGTTCACTTTCATCTTAATCAAATAATTATTATTGAAAGCATGTATCATTCTGTGCTCACGCGGCTGCACATTTGGGTTGGAGACTTCTAGTGTGAGAAAAATGAGGGAGGAATGTAGTTAGTGTGAGAAAACAAAAGTGGTGAACAGGGAGCAAGACACCGAAAAGAGCGTGGGAGTGCTGGTTGATGGGCCTCTCTCTCCCATGCACTCAGTGTAGGCCAGAGTTATTATAGATATAAAAATCTCACACGGTCTCAAATTAATTGTATTTCATTTTTTTAATTTTGCTTTTTTGTTTTCAATTTCAGCTTAGTTTTAGTTTTAATACTTTGAATGAAATTGAATTTTTGAAATATATCCTGTGATGAAAATATGTACATTTCATAATTTACTCACCCTCATGTATGACTGTTTGTGGAACATAAAAGAAGATTTTGAAAAATAAAAATTCTATTTTTTTGTTTGTTTGTTTTTTGACCATGCAGTGGAAGTCAATGGTAACCAAAATTGTTTAGTAACCAACATTTTTCAAAACATCATCTTTTGTGTTCAGCAAAAGATAGGAAGTAACATGGGCTTAGAACAATGTAAGGGTGAATAAATGATGACAGACTTTGCATTTTTTGAGTAAACCATGCCTTCAACATATCACAAAGGGCCCTTGTTGTCTACTTGGGAAGTTATTTTTGAAAAAAAAAAACAATATTAAATTATCCAAACCTTTGTATCTATACCTTCTACTACTTCACTACTAGTTGTTGTTTTTATAGTTTTCATTATAAATAATATCCTCAGTATAGCTTGTTTTCATAAGATGGTAAAGGTAAAGGTGATGATCTCTATGTGAGACCCTATGTGAGATATATTAACATTCTGTTGCCTAACATGGCCTTCCACATGATTTCACACAACACTAACACTTCTATTTCTCTCATTAGATGTGATGGAGCAGCCTGGCCTGTGGCCCCCAGTCTACAGGGCCCGAGGGGCCCACTCCCACATGCAGCATCCTGCTGTGTATCCTCGCTCGCAGTTTCTACGGCAACAAGAGCTTTATGCTCTCCAGCAACACCAGCAGCTGCAGCATCAGCAACACCCCAGCCATCACATGCCGCCACCTCCATCACACAGAGTAGCAAACAACATAGATCTTCAGCAGAGAGCCACAGCTGACCACAGCCAGGTACACAAAACACACACAACCCCTCATATAACCATTGTACAGCAGTGGTTTAGAAACAGCTGAGCTTTCAAATGAGCTAATGCTTGACACCTGATACTGAGAGAGGATGCACTCCTCTCTGTGGAACGAGACAGTCGTTTTTGTGTGCAGGGGAGTAAACAACATTTGGAGCCAATAAATCATGAGTTTCATTTAAAAAATCCCCCTATAAAACCATAACTGCTCCCTAGGATCCATAATTTCCTCCAAGGTCCAGTTACATTTTAGACATGCACAACCAAATGCAGCCAACAATGGACTGTGGTAAGATTGGGCCAAGCACTACTCTTTTTGATTGCAGGTCTAAATCAATAGAACTGAGCAAGTAGGGTCTAAACGAAAATCTGATTCAGCAAAACAGGTGAATACGTTGATGTGACGATTGCATGACCAGGCGGACTTCAGAATATTTGTCAGTTCCCTTAAATTAACCAAACTGCCTAGATCTCATTATAGGGCTTGAGTTCTCTTTATGGATTTTCCCATCTAATTCTTTCAATGCCTAGGTGCAAAAGAAGCCAGAAGAACAGAGCATGGAGCTAGAAGACATTTTGTCTGAACCCAGGACTCCCAAACCTGCTAAGGGCTATGCCTACGGCCCATCCAACCAGGCCTCCTCACCTCCCAGGGGCTCCGCTGCCCATTTGTCGCCCTGCTGCCAGTCCCCTTGTATGCGGCCTCACCCTAAAAGCACACCCTCCACTCCCTGCCCCGCCCCAAGTCCGGTAGCTGCGACACCCCGCTCACCAGCCATCAGCCCTTCTCCATCACAGATGCCCAAAACTGTTGAGTCCCAGGAAAAGAGAGTGGAAGGGCAGCCACTACAAGACTATCCTCAATCCATGGAGCCTGGTAAGGAGTTATTCTCCTTTACATATAAATATTAGAAATGCAATGAACTTGTTGACTTGGAAAAATTTTGTCTGTCTTAGTGTCAAGAGGCGATCTGAAATTTGTGTGGTCGTTCACTCTAGATTTGTGTCTTTGTCTTGAGGCTTAGGTGCCTGCTTCAAGTCATTGTGTCTCAAAAACACATAAGCCACATGTTGGTTGTTATTCATGCTGAGCCCCTCATGCAGAATCAATCAGGGCTTTTTTTAGACTCTGTGGCTCTGTGTGGGCGGCTATATAGGCAGGAACACGATTGACTAAGCTGCTGATAGATGCAGAAAATGGCTGACAGCTCAGCTCCCCAGCGCCATCACATCAGTAATGATGGAGAAACACCTTGTCCAGACTCACCCCCACTCCCCAGCCCACACCCTCTTTATCATCATTAACACCTCACTAACAGTTACAGCGTGCCAGAGGGTACAGCAGTGTCAGAAAGAGAGCCCTGTTTTACCTCAGAATTACCCCCTTAACAGCTGCACTTCTTAAAGTTGAATCAAGATCAAGGCATAGTGTTGCTGTCATGAGGAATGAAATGCGTTCTTGTTCAGATCTCTGGTGCAAAGCTTATTAAACATGTCACCCTTTTAAGGTTGTCAAATATAAGATTGTTTCATATGCTGATATTTTTTAAATGCTGCACAACTAAACTTTGTTTATATTCCCTGTCACAGATCTGCCACCTGGATATACCTATCCGAAAATCAACATGGGATATAGGAATATCCCCACCACTCAAGACGTACAGCTGGCAGAGCCTGCTGATCTGGAGGCTGTTCAGACTGAACCTGTTGAGCACCCTCCTCCAGCTCTCTCCAGCTTGGGAGAGGGCCTGGAATGTCATGCAATGGTGAGGCCACTCCGAGAACCACAAGAGCCAACAATGGACGTTGATGCCACTAGTCTAGTTGAAGAACAACCTGAGGGTGTGTTTGTGCAAGGGGAGGTTGTCAAGACAGTCATGGCCATGGGCTGCTGTGAACCCATTGAGGACAATCAGAAAAAGGAGCATGCCAAGATAATTTGCACACCTGCTGAAGTTTCAGGCTCTGAAGAAGGACAGGTAACTATCCTATCGTCTGAGGAAGTAATCCATCAAGAAGAACCAATTGTTACCTTTGACGAAGAAGTGGGGGAAGATATACCTCCTCAAGAGAGTGAAGACATTGACACACTGAAGGATCCAATACCAATACCACAACCATGTGTCTCTGATTGTTCACTCAACCAGCTGCCAAACACCACTGCCCAAGCAGATGTTGCAGTGGTTACTGAGGAAGATGAAGAGAAAAACTATGTGAAGGTTCCATCTCCAACAACAAATAGCTGCTCCCAGAGTCTCACAACAAGTTACTGGAGTTTGGAGCTCCTGATTGCAGCAGCCTTCTGTGGGGACTGTCCTCCTCCCTCTCCACCTTCCCCTTACCAATCCCAGAGATACTGTGGCCCACTCAACTCCACATATCATGGCATGGAATTGCTGAGTGAGCTGGCTGATCTGGAACTGCAACGGTATCAACAAAGTTGTGGTAAAACTCAAGGTATGTTATTGGAAAGTTTGCAGGGAGAAAAAGGCTCAATTTTACTCCTTCAGGGCAATGGTTTTGCTTCAGGACCCAGATTTTCATTGAAAAATCTCTACTGTTTCCCTTTTAAGGACCATATATCTGTGTCGCATCTGTTCTTTTCTCCTGCTGTTAAGATTTCTGCAAACAGTGGTCCTGCTTGTCACTAAACAGTGAAAAGCTGGTTTGTAATCACAAAAGCAGTTGGTGTTTTCACTCTAGAGCATTGTCTAGGCTAATTAGCTATTTCACCTTTTGTTAAAGCTTCCCTCATATTATCATGTTTTTTATTCATGCAAGAGTATGTATAGTGGTTGTCAGAGTTAGTTTTAACTATTTAACTAGTCCCAGAGGATCTACTAAAATTGTGAATACAATATTCACTTTTTATTGATTTGTTTCTGTATGTTCTCTGTTGCTTTAGTAGATTTTGTTAAAGGGGTCATCGGATGCGACATGCACTTTTACAAGCAGTTTGAGCTGAAATGTGTGTTGGCAGTGTGCGTAAACAACCACCCTATAATGATAAAGATCCACCCAGTGTTGTTTTAAATCTCGTTAAATCATTTATCCTTTCTCAAATCGAGCCAATCTCAGATGCCTGTCTGTATGATGTCACACAGATCCTGGGCCGCTCCCACGGTTGTTGATTGATGCTAGCGTTTTACCTTAGACCCGCCCTGAGTGAGCTGTCATCAGTCTGCCATTGTTTCGATGCTGGAGCAGATGTAGACAAGAATGGCTCTTAAGCAATTGAGGTGTTCTGTTGTTGGATGTAATAATGAACATAGCAGTCGTCATTTACTCCAGACATCTGAGCCACTGAAGACGCAGTGGATTAGCTTTATTTTTTTAAGGGAATGCGCCCCCCCCGATCTGCCTAAATGCGTTTATGTTCATGCTTTTTAAATCTCGTTAAATCATTTATCCTTTCTCAAATCGAGCCAATCTCAGATGCCTGTCTGTATGATGTCACACAGACCCTGGGCCGCTCCCACGGTTGTTGATTGATGCTAGCGTTTTACCTTAGACCCGCCCTGAGTGAGCTGTCATCAGTCTGCCATTGTTTCGATGCTGGAGCAGATGTAGACAAGAATGGCTCTTAAGCAATTGAGGTGTTCTGTTGTTGGATGTAATAATGAACATAGCAGTCGTCATTTACTCCAGACATCTGAGCCACTGAAGACGCAGTGGATTAGCTTTATTTTTTTAAGGGAATGCGCCCCCCCCGATCTGCCTAAATGCGTTTATGTTCATGCGAATAATTCGCGATCCAACCTCACCTACAGAAGAAGTGAGTTTAAGGTTCTTTTATGAATCTTTGCAAATCGCCTTTCCTAATAACATGCTAGTTAGCAAGTTCTGCAGCTGAAGTAAACAGTCTCATTAGAGCTCGTCACCCCACGGAAGAGAGGGGCGGGGTGAGCAGAGCTCATTAGCATTTAAAGGAACATGGAATAAAACAGCTTGCTGAAAACAGAGCTGATTTTGACAGGTAAAAAGGGTGTTGTTTTACACTGCTATTGAGAAATTTTAACCAAAGTATGTTATACATTAAAGCAATAGGCCCCAAGAAGGGGCCTTCGCGTCGTGCCTAACAACACCCCTTAGCTGTTATAAATTCACTGTAAACCATGGCTTCACGTGGCTTATTGCTTTTATAAAACGGTTATTCCATATACGTAGTAAGGTTTCACAAAATAAAACAAATGAAAGTGTAATGATATTAATAATAACATTATTCTTCAGCCAAACAATGTAGTTCCTCAGAAACTGTTGTGGTTCCAGCAAAGTGGTTGCTGAGCAACACACAAATGTAAACACTGGTGCACTTATATTCTATGTACTTATGCACTATGTACTCAATCATGTAGTGTAGGAATTATATATGGCTATTTTGTCATTCATAATCGGAGTCTGATAGCCCCTCCCCCTTCACTACGTAATTAAATCTGCGACAGTTGAGTGCATGAAGTGTCCAACATTCCACACTTAATTTTTTCGATTATTTAAGTGCATCATCCGGGTATTTAAAGTCCACTTTTTCTTTTTGGAATTTTCAGTGTGAACGCACTACTTGCACTATTTATACTACAAAATGTCATAGAATAGTGCATACGTATGCGATTTGGGACGCACCTTATGTTTGTACAGTAATTTACAACAGCTTCGAACTTGGCACAACCAATCAGAATCAAGAACCGGAACTATCTGTTTTATATAAAGTCCCTAAAGAATCATATCAACTTGTAGAAAATGGGCATCCGATGACCCCTTTAAAAAAAAAATAAACCATGGCTTCACGTGGCTTATTGCTTTTATAAAACGGTTATTCCATATACGTAGTAAGGTTTCACAAAATAAAACAAATGAAAGTGTAATGATATTAATAATAACATTATTCTTCAGCCAAACAATGTAGTTCCTCAGAAACTGTTGTGGTTCCAGCAAAGTGGTTGCTGAGCAACACACAAATGTAAACACTGGTGCACTTATATTCTATGTACTTATGCACTATGTACTCAATCATGTAGTGTAGGAATTATATATGGCTATTTTGTCATTCATAATCGGAGTCTGATAGCCCCTCCCCCTTCACTACGTAATTAAATCTGCGACAGTTGAGTGCATGAAGTGTCCAACATTCCACACTTAATTTTTTCGATTATTTAAGTGCATCATCCGGGTATTTAAAGTCCACTTTTTCTTTTTGGAATTTTCAGTGTGAACGCACTACTTGCACTATTTATACTACAAAATGTCATAGAATAGTGCATACGTATGCGATTTGGGACGCACCTTATGTTTGTACAGTAATTTACAACAGCTTCGAACTTGGCACAACCAATCAGAATCAAGAACCGGAACTATCTGTTTTATATAAAGTCCCTAAAGAATCATATCAACTTGTAGAAAATGGGCATCCGATGACCCCTTTAAAAAAAAAAGCACACATCACATAGTTGTCTTGGTAATATTCAGTGTTATCTGAATGTGGAGGCCCTTCTTCCTGTGATATCTTATAGAGCAATCTGCATCTGTTTCATGAAGAATAATATGATATTTGTAAATCAAGACATAAATTAGCCCTTCAGTTTAGTCTTTCCTACAATGCCTGTTTCCAGCTAGCATAGATACCAGATAAATAGCTCATTTATGATAGAATTCACAGTATGAGAGCCATAATATATTGTTGTGTTTCTTTTTTTTCATCAAAGAAGAAGATCAATGGACTTTTGACCTGCAGAGTCTTGCTACTTTGGCAGCAGCACGTGCCCTTGAATTGGGTTCACAGGAGAGCAGCACCACAGATGCTGAGAAGCAGTTTCCTGCTCGAAGAGCTCTCAACTTGCGCAGAAAATGCAGCTGGACGCCTCGCCATGAGCCGGTAACACATCCATGTTTTTTTCTCATATGCGTTTTCGTCATGTAGTTTATAATCTATCTTATTAAAGATAACCAAACGCTAGCATACATGAACATTTGTTCAGTTTTTTAATATATAGCCTATCCAAGAGAACATAAGAAATATGTAATTTGCATCCTACTTTATTGGCATACTCAGTCTAGTTAAGGACTGTAATGAACTAAAAGTTAATAGGATAACAGAACTGTATTAACTCAGGGATAGAAACAGAAGTCATCCAAGACTGGAGCAACTGACCAGCAACTAAGGGAAGAGTTGTTTGATTTGGTTGCTCCAGGTTTGCCCAGTGAAAGGTACCATGGACAGTATGGATGGGCAGGAGTTGGCGATGCGAGTGAGGTTAGCAGAGCTGCAACAGCGTTACAAAGAGAAGCAGAAAGAACTGGCCAAACTCCAGAGGAAGCATGATCACCAGTAAGCACTACCCACCATCACAAACTATTAAATATTTTTTTATTCTTTATACATAACCTGTGTGAACACACAAGCCCTCATAGTCCAAATTTGTCCTCCTTGAAAAGTGAAATGTGTAATTTTATGTTAACTTACTTTCTCCAATCCTAGGTTACATGCAGATTACACTCTATTCAATAAAACCCTATTCATACCACTAGAGCTGTACTGCAATGGTTGCTAGTAGGCGTCCCTAGTTATGGTTGCCCTAGTAACGTTTATGAGCGTCAGTACCCCAAATGTCATTCTATGCTAAAAATAATCACTTGTCTGAAAAATTATAATTTGCCTGTTTTTGCAACTGTGCAGAAATGACACACTTCATAATGAAAACATGTTTAGCAAAAGATAACCATGTTTTTCTTTAGGAAAGAGGAGACTCCTCGCAGTCCAGCACGTCGTGGCCCTGGTAGACCACGCAAACGCAAATCAGTCCCTGGTCTTGGCTCCGGGGCCCTTATTGAACCCCAGAAAAAAGTAAAGTAAGTATCTCCTGTTCCCTTGTCCTCTTTGCCAGCATCTCACACACACAGCAGATAAGCCTCCCATATCAGCACAACCCAGCAGACGACTCCACAAACCATAAACAGGAAACAGGAGAACTCATCTGACCTCAGTGAGGAAGTCCAGTTATGCTTTATTTTTCCTAATCAGTACTAGGCCTGAATTGCATTACATGCATTTGGCAGCGCAACGCGGTTGGCCGTGTCTTCATATCTCCTTGCAAAGGTTCCACTGTGTGTTTCCTTGGTTCAGGCTTATAGACGGTATCCTAAATCTATGTACATACACTGTGTGTGTGCGCCTGACAATAAACTGGTTCTGTGTCTGCCAATCGTTGATGTGAATGGCATGACTATCCTGCAGCAGCCAGGGGGGATTCAACAGGCCGTGGATGTAATTAGAGCGCTGTGAATTCTCCTCTAATCTATTTTATTGCCAGGAATGTGACAGATTCCTGTCGTTTAGCACTTGGGTCAGTGCAGGCCAGGAGACGAGGAGGTCACGTTGACACACGCATTCTTACACCGCAATTAATTAGTGTGTGAGTGTGCTGTTGTGGAGGACAGCCGCCTGTGTAGACAGTAGAAAAAAAGGCACTTCGTTAGATTTTGGAACTTAGCACATATAATGACTATAGTTAGGCTGAGTGATTGTACTGTGTTCCCCAATGCCTGCTGGTATAGAGAGGATCTGTCAATGTTTGAATCTCTCCGGAGCTTTGAAGAGTGTTATTGACACTCCGAACACCCCCAAAACCTCTTTCTATCTCTTTTCTCATTGTGTTCCTGGCTGTCCCACTGTCATGTCACCTCCTCTCTGTTTCCGCCCGCCTGCCTCTGCCCTCGTGCCAACCAGCCGCCACAACGTGATTCCATATGACAGTGACACCCAGACGCACGGGCAGGCAGCCAGGGCCCCTCACCGCGGGCAGTGTGTTTGTGTGTGTGTGTGTGTGTGTATGTTTGTCTACTGTATATAAAGGCGGACAGTGTGTCTTGTAGCATTTAACAGGCTAGCAGCCAGATCTTCATTTTGTACAACATCACACTAGATTTTCTGCTATCATGCTCAGGTTTAAATAACATATATTTATTTTAAATAACAATTATTTATTTATTTATTTATTTATGCTGTTGGCTGGGTGGCTGACGTTGTTTAGTTTAGTTTATTGTCCTTTTGTAAATTCTTTTTGTATCTGTATCCCTTCAATCATCAACAACAACAGCTGACAAATACAAACAAACATCAACAGATTACAAAACACATTACAAATACAACCAACAGCAAAACAACAACATCCCTCTCACAACAACGGAATCACTGCCATAGATGTAAAATGACACCTGTGATATCACAAGAATTTATTTTACAAATCTATACTGGAAGATATAAAAGATCTTTGTGCACGGGCAGTCCGTAATAACTGTACCCTATACCTTCGACCAGATTTTAACAACTCATATTCACCATAAAGAGGATGTGATAGATCCCGAAGAATTGCATGGCTTTTCCTCACATGGCTTTTGTCATTGTTATGCAGAATTTTATGTATTTATTTATTTACATATAAGAAATATGTGCATCTACCTACATTTTTGCAAAACTCCAAAAATGTATTTATACATACAGTTTACTTACGTTTCTAGCTGAAATGAAGACTAGAGGTGTAATACACCAACTTTTATTCCTTTTCACAGAAATTGGATCTGATTATTGTTTAATAAAGACTCGCACAATACTGTGTTATGGCCTTAAAACATATTTACCATGTGCATGATTTGTAAACTTTGACGTTTGCATAACTTAACCAGTTCCATATAACATTTATGACATGGTATACTTGCTCAGTAGCGCACCTGGTACAGCATTGCATTTGTGATGTTGAGTGCTCGAGTCCTGTGAAACACAATTCATGATAAAAAAGCTCCAGGACTTAAAGATAGAAGTATGTTAAAACTGCATGATTGCCTAAGCAAATGCATATTTATGTCACGTTTGAGATAATTCACTGGATAATTCACAATTCACATTTCTGTACCGCGATACGTACAACAACCGACATAATAAGACTTTGCCAGATTCACAATCATCTGTTTCAAATAAAACTGAACATGCTTTTAATGCCGCTCACTGTATATTTTACTTTTAAAGTGTCAAGTAATGCGCAAAAAGCGAAGTAATATAATTTTGCAGAAATGTCGCCACTGGCACTAGTGAACAAAGTCTAAACTGAGGGTAAAGAACAGATTTAGCAAGTAACTTCCCCTCAGGCCACCTAAGCGTGTATGCTTATCATGCATAATCTTTCTGACAACTAAAAGTGAATTTATTTATAAATCAAATTCAGATGGTGCGTTAAGTTGAATCAGGTTTGGAACCAGAATCCTTAAAATACTTTACAGTCTTCTTCACTAATTGTGCTGTTTTGGTTTGTTGTTTGATAGTATAATACTGCTGCTGTTGCTCTCGTAGGTAACACAGCGCGACACTGCATTGCATAATGAGAAGCTATTAACAGACAGGTTCACACGTTCAGTGTTTTCTCTAGTGCAGGTGACTGCATTGAGGCATTGTCACTTGCTGCTTTCTATTTAGCCTTTTGAGATTGAGGGCAGTGGGGTCAGTAGGTAATAACTCACATCATGTGTGTATGTGGTTGTGTTTGTGTCTGACACTATGTGTCTGTGCTTAAAATTCCTTACAGTGATATTCAATGTGTTTGTGTGTGTGCACGTGGGTGTTTGAGAGAGCTCTGTTTAATTAGCTGCCGTGAGCATGCACCAAGGGGAGGGGCCATGTCATGTTGTGTTTGTCAGTTCGTTGCGCGGTGAGGCCTACCTCACGGGGAAAGAACACACACTCCGTTGCACCCTCTGTCCCCTTGGCTGTCAATCACAAACACATTATGCATTTGTGTGCACATATTCACACTAGTAGGCTAGTTGAGTGTCAATAGAAACAGACGCATCCTGCAGGAAAGAAAAATCACAAGAGATTACTTTAAAATCCCAGGACAGCAATGAGTTTAAATGGAGATCAAATGGAGACATTGACTTTTCCTGTGAAAAAGACCCCAGTAATCCCACAAGTTTCAAAGATCTCAAAGATCTCAATGACGCAGATTTAGTAGGTGTCTCCAAATTGTGGACTGGTTGCATACATTTAACTCCATTTATGGACATTTACCAAGATTCCAAGTCCAGCATCAGAGATCTCAACATGAACTCAATCATTTCTTATCAAATTCTGTAGAGATAGAATGATCTCAGTTATGCTTACCACATTTTAGAGATCTATAATCTTATGCTGTGTCCTAATGTGTTCGAAGTTTCCATTAACAAGCAGTTGTTTGTCCATTCATGCAAGATTTTGAACCAATGTGGGCAAAAAAATATCATGTTGTGGCTGGTTATGTCAGCTGAAATGTACCTAAATCTGACTGAGATGACTATCTTAGGACACTGTTTTAAAGCCTGTTCACACTGAGGACAACAACCATAATGATTACTTTAATATTGGTTCTAATTCTACGAGAATAGGCAAGTCAGAATCAGAATATCAGAATATTTTGGAAACACTTTCAGAACAATGTTTTTTTTCATCTGATAAATGATAAAAAAAAATTGACAGCCAATCAGAATGCATCAGAATTTAAAGAGCTCGAACAGCTCAAAAGTCGCTGACAACACAACTGAAGCAGGCACTTATAACAATCAGGGGTGCATTTCCCAAAAGCAATTATGTTTGTAAATTCTGTAGTCACCAAGTTCAATGGAACTTATGACCATAGATAGCTAACGATGCTTTTGGGAAATGCACCCCAGAACATTACTGTCCATTGTTGTGGATGCTAATAATATAGTAATAGTTATCTTAACTGTTATCGTTCTTGGTGTGAGGCGAAGTTGATACTTAAATGAAACAAAACCAAGATCTCCTTTATGTCTCCTGAGCTTTGAAAGAGCAACCTCAGAGCAAAACAGCATTTCCCCCTGGGACTACGTAAGCAGAAGCACATTACAGCAAACAAAATCTCAATTAGGTTTCCACAAAGACAGCCTCTCTAGAGATGTCTACCGGCGATTAAACAGCTCATGTGACTGACGGCACACTAGCTCTTTGCTGGAGGATGGAAGGTAATCTTTTGTCTGTGTGCTGTCGGTCTAGCGTTCGTTCGGTCTGTCGGGCAGGTTTCCAGGGAAATTCAAGGGCATTCTCTCCCAGCCTGCATTCAGAGCCGAGGGGGACAAGCTGCCTCGCTGATATGGAAATACAACTGCAAGGGCTCTGATATTCACCAAGAACAATAGCGTCAAACATGCAGTGCCCTCAAACGGCTCGCTCTGTCTTTTCAAAGGGACCGGCCCCCTTTTTTTGTAGCAGGAATCTCCCCTGATAATTCACGCTGGGCTTTTTATCCGGCAACTGCCCTCGAACAGTGGCTGGATGGCCGTCTGATCGTAGTTCCTCAAGCGTGAGGTGTGGAGACCATGATTTTTTTCTTCCCTCTTTCGATACTCATCAGAGGAAGAGCAGGCAGCGATTTGAGCCCACTGAGAGGCAGCTCAGCCTTGTTCTCTCTCTAATCTGTCTTTCTTGCTTTCTCTTTTCATACTGACACTGCCTGAGCTGTAGGGGTGTTTCGGACATGAATGACTCAGTGAATTTGAACGAGTATTTTAAGTGAACAAATCATTCTCTTTCACTTCTGTTCTGGCATTTTTGTTCACTGAAGTCTCTCCTTTAAACCACCTGATTTCAAGACAATGCACGCACAAACAGCGTTATAGTGTAGTTTCTGAAGGAGGATTTCATTGGTTGAACCTACTAGGTGAATACACTCATCACTAAATGAGACTGAACGATGGAGCAGCGCTGAACAAATTGGGCCATTTTTGTGATCAATTTGTGGCAGTTTGTGGTTATAATTTCATGAAAAGGACAGTAAGAATTAATTTAGTTGCAAACAACTTTTGAACAAATCTGTTGAGTGAATGATTCAATGACTCACAAAATAGAAAAAGACACAGCGATAATGATGTAAAGAATTCTGGGATAAATCAAAATATCCACCACTTCTGAGCTGTACTGACTGTAACAGCTTCTGTTGTTCTTTGACAGGTTGGTGGGGGTGGGGCTAAGTCCACTAGCAGAGGAGCACCGGGGAGGTGGAGAATCGCAGAAGAAAAATAAAAAATTGTCCAGTCGAGGATTTGGCCGCCTTAGCTCTACACAGGTCAGTGTCCACACAAGTCCTTTCTTCTCTTGCTCCCCTCAGCCAATCATCACTTCTGTATTTATTAATCAGCTCATGCTTTTTTATCAACCCCTTGCTAAGCTTCACCACCTTTGGTTACTATTGCTCCCACAGGATTGATTTGGAGATTTTGGGGGCTTAGTGAAGGATTTAAAAAGTGGCCCAGAATAAGTCTTAATGTTGATTCCCTCTCATATTGGTCTCTCTTAGATGAAGTCACAGTGTTATCGGAAGAACAGCACCCATGATCAACAAATAACTCAACTCAAGCAGAAGGTCCCAGGTGGACGACATTCATCTGGAGCTGCGTCAAGAGACCCAGAGTTTTCCTCTGCATCTAAGAGCCTGTACTCTGGCCATAGTAACTCCAAAAGAGATTCTACACAGCTCAGCACAGCCAATGAGTCTGAGAGCCTGAGCGATACAGGTAAAACCTATCTTCTGTAATGGCATATCGTGCCATGTGGCTTTAAAAGACAAAACTAAGATGATGTACTGTATACAGAACAAAATATGACTTACTCAGAATAACAAGATAACTTAATAGTCAACCTATATACATTCATTTTGTAGGTAAAATCAGTAAGAAATAGCTCTTTAAGGTAACAATTGCAGTTGTACTCTTTTGGGTACTTGTGCAGTCAGAATAACCAAAATGCACACTTCTAGTACTGAAATTCTAAACTTTCTGACTAAATGATGGAGCATAACTTTCACAAACTCCATCATGTCCTTGCAATGTATGTAATCAATGGCAGTTTTCTCTGATGTACTTGTGTATGCATGGAATTATTTCCAGCCACGAGTGGGGACAGCGGGACACAGGAGTGCTGGAAGAGACACCATCCAGTGGCAGCTAAAAAGGAAAGAAAGAAAAGTCCTGGATCAGCAGCTTGTTTGCAGCAGCCAGGGGCCAGGATCCCGCAGGGCAGGGGACAGGAAGTGGATGAGGACGGGGAGACGTCCCCCTCTGAGAGCGAGTCCTCTGAGCAAGGTGAGAGTCAGCCGGTTTGTGTCATCTTGGGAAAGTAAGAAAAGCTTAGTGAAGCTTTCAAATGTGTCACAATTATTCAACACTCTGAGACTACGTTTTCACGACAGCGATGTAGTCAAAAACGGAAAAGTTTTTCCCTTGCGTTTTTAAAAAGTTTCACGTATACACGACAACGTTTTCAAAACGATCCGCGTTTACGCAGATCCGCGAAAACGGCCAAAAACGTTGTATTACTTATGCCACGCCAGTAGTTGGCGCTGTCACCTTGTTAATAAACGTTACCTGTAGGGAAGTGACGATTATATGTTGTATATGATGCGTCTCCGCTATTGCTTGTAATATTGGTGAAGTAAATCCACACTTTGCTGAAGAAGCGTTAGCAAACTCTTGAGCAACAACAACAGTACCATGTACTCCGCCATTGTTGTGTATGTTTGTTCGTGCTTGCCTTTAAAATCGACACGTACTGTGCATGTCTACATACCTAACACGTACTACGCACACGCATGACGTCACCGTTTTCAAAGATTCCTGTATTGAGTGTTTACACGGAAACGATAACGGTGCCGTTTTCAAAAACTTGCACTTTGAAACCCGTCTTCAAAAATATGCGTTTTCAGTTCCCAAAACGCAGTTGTCGTGTAAACAAACAGGCAAAACACACAAAAAGTTTCCCGTTTCTGGCTGAAAACGTTGTTGTGTAAACGGCCCCTAAGTCTGTGTGTCACCACCTGTCTTAGTCCCTGTTTCTCTTCTCTTTCACACAAATGCAGTTGATCTCTTTAATATTTCTTCAAGGAATGCATGTGCCCCGAGCGGCACTGAGAAAAGTTGTTATTAAGCAAGAGAGCAGTGTGCGTGTATATGTGAAAACATTTATGTCTGTTAGGTGCCGTTCACACAGAACGCATCTTTGCATCTAAAAATGTGAGATGCAGTGCTCAGGAATGGTTTTTTAAAAAGCACAGTGCAGAATGCCTCTTCCATCATGTTGCTGTCAAATAAAAAAGTTGCCATGACTACTTGCTACTGTAAACAAAAGCTTACAACGCTTGCCCCGCCTCCGAGGTATTCTGATTGGTCCACTGTTTTGTAACTGATGATGAGCGGCGCTGCATGTAAATGTTGAAATTCTTTTAACTTGACACAGGGTCTTGAAAACGTGGCTCATGTGCGAGACACTGCAAAAGACACAAGAAACAAGCGGAACGGACATATGCGTCTGTCTAGCACGTCTACATAGAAAAAAAATGGAAAAGTACCACATAGAAATGGGAAACCATGTTCTGTGTGAACAGCCACTTAATCTAGAGTAACCAGACTTTTGGTAGAATTATTTGGTTCGCTTAGACAGGAAGAGATCATCTAACCAACCTATATTGCAACCATATAAATCTGTTTTTGCAAAGTTAGTTTTTACGTGTCATTTAGGTGTGAAAAATGGATACCACAGTAATAGACTGCCGTGGAAAAAAAACATGCAAATCTAGATTAGCAAAAAGTTTGAGAGAAATGTGGGAAAATTTGTGCAGACTTTGCGATCAGAATTTTTGTCAGTCCAAAAGTTTTAAATATCAATTACTTCCTTGATGGAAAACAAAAAAGAATATGAAGTTCTTCCCATGGCTGTCTAGTTTACTTGCTACTTCAGAAACCTCCAGAAAACAACACTATAACTCATTGTTTCATATGGCATACAAATGTTTGCACAGTGAATGATTTCCAAATTAGATCAAGATGTAGTTGTACGGCGACCATTTGTTTATAGTGATTCCAACATATTATGTTCTGATATTTATATTATAGTCAGATGCGAACAGCCATACTGAAATGTCATTTTCATGATACAGAGGAAGATGAAGAGGAAGGCAGTTATGGCAGTGAGGAAGGCCAAGACATCAAAGCGCAGACGTTCAGAGATCTGCCGTTCAGTCCTGCCATTACAGGCCCCTCAACTTTCTCTGTTGTCAAACTGGAAGCCAATCAGAAGGCGAAAATTAAGCGGGCACGACAAGAACTTTATGGTAAAGGCCATCAAAAATCCCAGTGATTGTGCCACCTCATGCTTTTGATTCTAACCCTTTGCATTTTTGTGAAACCCATTCAGGATCTCAGTTTCGGGCCGTAACAGATGGGGACGTGAAGGTAAAACGACGACCCACCTGTAGATCCATCCCCATCACTGTCTCCAAACCACCAGGAGTCAGAAGGCGACCAGGCAGGCCCAGAGTGCAGGACAAACGCTGGCCTGGGATCACGGGCAGGCCGGGTCATTACAGAAAGAGTAGCAGTCTTCTCTCATTTCCCAGCAGCAGCAACACTGAGAGGCTAAAGAGAGCCACTCGGAAGAGCTCCATGCTGAGAGCCACGGTAAGCAATTCTGTCCAGTGGCATAATATTACTCATAGTTTAGGAAGATTCAGGTATTTTATTCCTTAAAGCATTGCAAAGCTAATCAGTTGTCTAGCACACTACATTGGATTGGTTTTAATAACTTGAAGGTACTTATAGTGTGCACCTAGCACTGGAAACAAAAAACAAATATCGGATCAGGGCTCAGTATTGGCAGATAGGCTAAACTAAATGACTGTATGGGGGACTTAAAAACTGAATTGGGACAACCCTAGTTGTGACATCTTGTTTACTACAAATCTTATAGTTCTGTTGGTGTTATTTCATACACTCTATAAAATGCTGGGCTGTTTCAACCCAACTTTGGGTCAAATATGGACTAACCCAACTGTTGGGTTAAATTTTTACATTACATTTTTAACCCAAAAGTTGGGTTAGTCCATATTTGACCCAAAGTTGGGTTGAAACAACCCAGCACTTTTAGAGTGTAGTTTAAATTAATTTACTACCCTTCCAAAAAGTGAAAAAGAGTCATTAAGATTTAGTAGGTGTCTCCAAATTGTGGACTGGTTGCATACATTTAACTCCGATGCCCATGATTGTCTGCAACTAATCTTTGAAGTTTTGTTTTTACCTTACTTTAGAGGAGAACTTACTGGTCGACCGAGGCCCAGTCCCAAGACAGTGATGATAACGGCAGCACTCGGAGAACAAGACTTCGAGAGGTACACACACAAACACAAGCATTCGCATTTTTTGGCACATTTAACACTTGTCTTCTCTTGCTGAGTAAGAAGCGACTTCATGTAAAGGTGATGTTCACTTGGTCTGAAGAAGTGAGAAAATGTTTTGCTGAGTGTGGAGAATGTAGAAAAGAGTTTTCCTCCATTTCCTTCAAGCGATTCAGTGTCTGCGCTGCTTCTGTGGTTCAGTCCAAAGGTCGAGCAGTCAGCCGTCTGATGGAGAGTTTTGCAGCAGATGAGGGCTTCCACCTGGGTGAGGACAGTAGCTTCTCAGAGGAGGATGAGAGGAAGGTGTCATCGAATAGCAGAAGTGCTCCAGGTAAATGTATGCACAACTGACAGGTGTTGTCAAGCATGATGTGAAGTCATTGGTGGTTATGTTAAACTGTATTTTGAGGTATTGCTTTTCATTTGGCAGCTCCTCCGAACTGTGTTCTGACTAAAGAGCTCCTGACAGATGAACTCAAAGTTCTGATCTCCAAAGAAGATGAACTACTGTATGCTGCTCGTGTGCAACCCCTGGAGTCGCCTGATGTGTAAGTGCACTGTATAATAAATGCCCCTTTCCAAATATTATTATGGAAGTTTATGGGAAGGCCCAGGTGAAATTTTTATAATTTTTTGTTGTTGTTGTTGGACAGTGAATAATGACTGACAATTATTATTATTTATCATTTTTATTTTCAGCGTTTATTTTAATTTTAGTGTTATGTTTGTCATTTTTATTAGTTTTTATATATATATATATATATATATATATATATATATATTTCTATATAG